TATCGAAGTATAAAAATCCATGTTCGTGACGTGTATGGTGGCTCCAGTTGAACCAAAATCTTATAAATTGTTCATGAGTGTTTTAAGCAGTTCAAAAAACTCGTAGATCGTGTTTTATCAGGTATAAAAGCACTCGGCTACGCCTCGTGCTTTTATACCTGGTAAAACACTCCTCCTCTTTTTTTAAACACTACATAAGCTTTTCTTTGTACGAAACAAATCAGGAGGGATCGGTGCCCACCAGCTGTGGAGCATATTGAGAGGAAAATCACGAAAGAAGCTTGAAAAAGAAGATGGGAAAATTCCTCAATCAATTAAGGTAATCAAAGGAACATTCTGCAAACTGAGGCTATTTTCTTTCCCTCCCTTTTAACTCCCTCGTGCGGCAGGCTGGTCGGGGAGAGAGAATGATTTTCTCCCGCAACCTTAGGCCCTGGCTAAACGAGGAAACATGTGTTTCCCGCGCGCATGTGCCCCGATATTTCCAAGTTAATCACATGCGAAACATTGCTACGTGCAACAAGTTTTGCTTACAAGACGTAAAAATGTTTATGCTGTGCGGCAGAAACATTTCATGCTTCCAAGACGCATGGAAACAATGTTTCCTCGTTTAGCCACGAAAGTCAACATTCTAAAAGTTCGTTACTTAGCAACGCTAGCTCTATCTTGAAAGTGCGCATGCGCTAACCGATGTTGAGTAAACATGTTTCCTTGTTTAGCCAGCTGAAATAGTCCTCTGCTCTAATCGGTAAATTTACTAAATCACTAATTTACTAATTTACTAAATTACTAATGTTCTATTTTCGTATGTCAACGTTCTTGCAAGTAGGTGTATATGAAATTAACGTTTGTTTCTCTACTGTGTACGTTTGACAGAACGCATACCGATCATTCCTTAGAGAATGCTTACATGCTGATGTACCTGTGGTTGAGCGGAGCTTTTGCAAGAATGGTGATCAGGTAACGAAAACATGCCTTCAAATATTACAATTAGTTTTACGAAACTCCGGCCGCTCTGATTCCAAATTTTTTTCGCAAATTCCCAAGTTGGTACGAACTTGTAAACTTAAGAGTGTGAACCTGCTTCAATGAACTGTGTCTTTTACTCCGACGAAGGACTAGCGTCCGAAACGTCAGTTTTTTTCATCTTTTCACGCTGTAAATTTTACCCTTTTATCGTTACTGTTTCGTTAGAAACACCCGACGCAGCTCACACTAGTTTTTAACTAGTTATCTCTTCTTTGAACCTTGTCTTGTTTAAGTGCAGAAAAAAAAAGTGAACTCTGTGTCTACGAGCTGCACGCTGAAGTTTGTTTTTTTCAAATTGAAGTAAATCAAATACTTTTCGAAAATTGTATTCCATATATTTACGATAGCTAAATTATAGTTAATGGAAWAATTGTAATGGATGGTTTGATCACAATGACTTGATTAATTTTGATCTTACTTTGGAAACTAAGAATCCATGGCAGCACATTTTGGCAGCTGTCAATCAAGCTTTGTAACAAACTCTGTCAACATAAAGGCCGGTTTAGACGGTACGATTTTCGCCTACAACTATTGTATACAACACACTCGCACCATCGTACAACTCGAGTCGTAGCGTGTAAATCAAAGCTACAACTCGCCTACGAACTACGAACTCGCTACAACTACGCCTATATAAAGAGAATCTAGATCTAGATATTAAAYATTAACATATAAATGATGATAGAAAGCAAGTTTGAACTATTCACACACGCCTCTTAATATTTAGTTATTATGATCCAAAGTATGAGCTTAAGGTGCTGACACACATTGCAACAAAATCACGCAACATCGCTTGTGTCAGCCTGCTATGTTAAGATATTAAGATTAAGATAAAGATAAGACACACGGTGCAACATTGCATGCAACATTGCACGCAACAGGATTGTTGCTGCGTGTGTCTACCCAAAACTTGYTGCACGCAACGTTGCATGCAACAAATCTGAAGTTGAATGGYGCTCTACTCTTCCAACATTGCGCGCAACAAATTTCATCGTGTGAACATGGCTGCAACATTACCTGCAACATTTTGAAATTTCCAGCCAATCAGCTTGCACCAAATTTATAACTGCTGACCAAATATTTTAACATAGCAGGCTGACACAAGCGATGTTGCGTGATTTTGTTGCAATGTGTGTCACCCCGATTCAAATTTGTTGCTTGTAATGTTGCACCGTTTGTCAGCGCCTTTTACTCTCATTACATAACTGAAATTCACTGTTTTGTTCTCTAAGTGGAACGGCTCTGGAACCGGTCTATAGCAGCTTTTACTGTAACAAAAATATTCTTCGTTTGCACGTTACCTCATCGCGGCCATGTTGGTACCATTAAACAAAAGATTTCTCATTAGCATCCATTGTTAACGCTGCCCCAATGGCCGCCATGTTATTGTCTTTTAACTCTCTTGGGAATGCTTGCAACCCATCAATGGGTTCGTCCATTGGTACAAGAAGAAATGGCGTTGCACTGATTTAGAACAACTCCACATTATGAACAATTTACTTTGCGTCAATAATTGAGTGTGGAAAGTTTTTTCTTTCTCAGATTCCAGAGTCAAAGATAAGCGAGAGTCATTTAATCAAAGATATTAACTTTTCACGTCATCGTCTGGACCTCATGTTTCGTGTTGCCCACATGAATAAAGATAAGACGCGCCTGTTGTTCAACCATATGGAGTCAGCGGATCCAAAGGAAGGAAGTGTGAGACCACCGAGGTACAATCCAGATCAGATCAAAGAACCAAAGGTAAAACTGTTACAACAACACCACCACGACAACTACAAACACCAACAATGACAACAACACTACTGCCAACACCAAGAACACTAATACTACCACCACACGACGACCACCACCACCACAACCATGGACAACAACAGCACTACCACCACTACCAATTGCCCTATTTCACTATGACGTCACTGCTTGTTTATGTGGGGGATAGAATCGCCAAATCCAATAGAAAATTCAACAAATTTTGCTCCTAGCGAAACAGTTTAATCTAAAATGGTCTGGTTTTCAGATATAATATGTATTAATATGTACTAAAAAGTATTCTGAGCGTTTGCTGGCTATTCTACTTCTCTTCATGGATTGACACGGGTTTTAGGACAATTTTCGGTGAATTTGCGTTGATTTGACCCCCTCCGACGACCATGATCCTTTGCGTTTAAACAATAGATTGTTTTGATGTGACGTCATAGTGAATTAGGGCAGTAGCGACCTTTAGATCCGACGACGAGTACGAGATCGAGTACGAGTACAAGTTTTAAAATTGGTCCTGTGCACCGTGGTTAACACTATTTTTTACAATCTAAAGTATCTACGTACACGATCACGACTACAAAAAGATAGTGCCTCTTTTTAAAAGTTAAACACTCGTACTCGTTCTCGTACTCGTTGTCGGATCTAAAGGTCTCTAATAACAACACTACCACCACCACAACCACCACCACTAAAGGCAACAACACTACAACTACCAACAACAACAACAAAATTTCCCTTGAAATACCTCACATTTTTCTATTTCGAACTGATATAGAGTATTGTAAAAACTGAATATTGTATAAAAAATATGTTTGCGAATACCGATTTGGAATGTATGTAAGGCATCCGTTGGTTAAAGTGCTCCTAACCCCTGATACAATACTTGCAGTATTGATTCTACATAAAGTGAATAGTTGAATGGTGAAATACTTCTTCATTTGAATGTTGCGTCTTTAAGTTATGAAGGTTTATATTTCCAATATGTAACAGACTGTGACGCGTCACCCCAGGCTTTTAAGCGTATTTGTTTTAATTTTTTATGCTAAACACTAGCCATTATGAGACATCAAATTTACAATAAACATTGT